TGAACCCCGACAGGCGTGAAACGTCGTTGATCAACTCTTAATACAGCTAAACAAAGTAGAAAAGTCATTTTGCACCCTCATTAAAACACGAGGCAACAATTGTAAGTAAAATGCAACTGAAATATTTGAAATCTAAATTTACCATTAAGGAAAACGTGCTTGGTTTAAACCGAATTTATACCAATCAAGCCAATTTCAACTGAGTAGATTCCATTATATTTAACAATTTGCATTGTTCTAATGTAAAAGAAAAAAAAAAATTACACGGAAGATTTACATGTAATTGCACTACTTTACGTCTGTATTTGGGGGTGGGGGTGAGACGCAGAAACGCTACAAAAAGTGAGATCTCACTTTGTAAAATCGTTTTTATTTATAGTAAAATTTCTAAACATGACCATGTATGAAGTGTATTAGCTTAAAATTAGAGGTCTTTTGCTTAAGCCCAGTTACCATAATGCGACTTATCCCTCTTAAGTAAGCCCAACTGAGTGCGAGTTGAGGTTACTTAATTATTAGTCAACAAGCGAGACAAGCTATTAAGTTTTACAGTTTAATGGTATAATAATTAAATAGACTATAACAGAAATTCTCATAGATAATTTCACAGTGTAGTTTTAGTTATTTTACATCAGCAACAAATCAATTTCCTCTTCCAGTTAAATTCAGAAGTTTTCAGAAAGACTAAATGAAAGACAGATATTAATTATGAATTAAATTTAGGGGTTAAAGTGTGGTTGTTCATGAGTTCGTGAACCCTTTGCAATTTCCAGGATTTCTGAGCTGATGAATCATCAAATAGGATCTGATATTCAAACAAAATCGGACTAAAATGAACATAAAACATGGTACTTTACATTTCTATTAAACACACAGTAATCAGGCATAGTGCAAACTGGAAAAAAATAGTTGAACTGGCAGATTTGCCAAGTCGCAGACGCTCCTTTAGCACCAGCACCCTCCCATCAAATGATTGCTTTTGCTGGTTGTGAGACTTGGTCTGTGATGAAGAGAAATTTTGATCCCTCTAGAGAGGATCAAACTTTGCCTTTATTTATACATTCTGCAGGGAAATCCCTAAACCCACCAGTTCCAGTCTCATCATCTTAACTGGAACATTTGACTCCAAGCTTATGGTGAAGTCATTAGCGCAGAGGATCACTCTTACTTTTGCACTTTTTTTCAGTTTGAAGTCATAATCTCACTTAACAACTGTTTTCTCTGCTCTAAATGACAGATAGAAATGTGTATACTTTCTAAGTTACCAAGCCACCAGGACAAATGGAGAAAATTTAGCACAGTGGCTAACAATATGCTAACAGGTGAAAGAGTAGGGTTATGCTAGCAGCTACGGTAGCAAGCAGCCTTAGCCCCAGAACGGTCTCTGTAAAATTATAACAGTCAAAGGTTTAATGTTTGGTTGTTTTCTTTTAGTTGGCAGTAAAATTGCTATAACAGTTTAGCATTAATAAAACAAAGAAAAAGGAAAAAACTCTCATTAAAAACCTAAGATGATCTAGTTGTGTGGGCCAGTTGCCAACAATCATTAGCGCCTCAGATTTATTTGTATTTATTTTATAACCTGACACTGTACCATAATCTTTAAGGTTGCTCAGAAGGTGACCGGATTCTCTAAAAATGGCAGAATATTATCTGCGAAAAGTGACAGCTTATGTTGTGTATTGGTTCCATCTCTAATTCCTTGTATGAGAGGATTGGATCTGATCAGTTCAGCTAACAGTTCAATACTAAGAGCAAATAAGGACGGCGATAACACTTCACCCAAAATTGAAGTTTAATTTTAAATCTGATTTAAAATGTTGCAGCAACATTTGAAATCAGATTTGAGTCTCAATGAAGTATCATAAATCCACAAATAAAAGTGCATGGCCAGTATTTAACCCAGTCAGTTTGAGGGCTCAGTTGACTGTTTACTGATTATATTCTATTTAAAAACAGCAATGAAGAAGTTTGTTTTTCTTTCCTGTCATTACCTAATAGATTATTATTAGTTAAATTGTAGTTTATTTTAGAAATGACCTTAGTGATATCAAGTTCACATTTTATGCCTTTATCAGTCATGAAATCACTTTATTCCTGACAAGTTACTAACCTCTTCTCATGAGTTTAGAATTCAAACGGCAGGTGATTCTGACATGGGTCATTGTGACACATTCATTTAACAGGAAATAATGAATAAGATAGAAATAAAAATCTGTAAAAATATAATGCACATTAGATTTATATTTTGCAAACATATGTTGAACATAGTCTTGAGAACAACTGTATGAGTGTGTGCATGTGTACGATAGTGGTGGGGGAGCTTACTGAAAGTTGAGCAGCCTGGTGGTTTGGCTGAAGAAGCTGCAGAATCCAGTTGTTCTGTTGTGGATCCTGCGAGTCTCTTCCCAGAGGCCAGCAGGAAGTGTATGGTGGGGGTGGGAGTGGTCACGTGTGACTTTGTTTGCTCTGGTCAGGCAGCGCTCTTGCGCAACATCCTGAATGTGGGGAAGTGGAGTCCCAGTGATCTTTTCCAGTGTCCTCACCACTCTCTGCAGGGACTTCCAGTCTAAGGCACTGCAGGCTCCTGACCACACAGACATGCATGCGGTCAGTAAGTTCTCTATAGAGCTTCTATATAAAGTGGTGAGCATGCGAGGGGGGAGGTGAGCTCTCCTCAACCGGTGGGAAAAAGTGCAGGCACTGCTGAGATCTCTTTACAAGAGAGCAGAACAGGGTGTCTGTTATCTGTATCCACAGAAACTTGATGCTGCTCATCATTTCCACTGTGTTGTTGGTGATGAGAAATAGCATGTGACTATACTGGCTCCTCCTAAAGTCAAAGATGGTCCCCTTTTGGCTTTTTTATGACATTCAGAGCCAAGTAGTGTGTGCTGGTTCAGTTGGTTCACTTCCTCTCTGTAGGCCTGGTTGTTGTCATCTTGAATAAGGCCTGCTACCACTGTGTTGTCAGCATACTTTACAATGTGAATCTGGGACAGCAATCATGGGTTAGCAGGGGGTTCAGAACACGGGCCTGAGGAGAGCTGGTGCTCAAAGAGATGAAGTTACAGTCTGGTCAGGTCTCTTGGTGAGGAAGTCTAACACATAAGGGTGCTGAGGCCCATAGGAACTAGTTTAGCATGTTCATGCTGTTTAATGATGATCTTAAACGATGAAATGAAGTCCACAAACACCATTTGCATGGGTGTCTTCTTGACCTTCGCTGAGATGTAGTACAGAGAAGATGGCGTCTTCTGTAGAGTGATTTGGGTAGCAAGCAAACTGTAATGAAAACAGTGTGGTCCTTTACCAGCTGCCTTTAAGGTGGGTGCTACAGGGCAGAAATCATTTAAACAAGTGATTTTCAGGGTACTGCAATGATGGCAGCAGTCTTGAAACAAGACAGTAGGACATTGTGATCCAGTGACATATTGAAGGTGTGCTGGTTGCTGCATTCCTTGAACATCTAACCAGGTATGTCTTCAGGGCCTGCTGCTTTTCTTATGTTCACTCCTTTCGAGGTCTTCCGGACTTCAGCTATTTCAAGACTGCTCATCAGCAACTGGAACATTTTTCTTTACGGGTGTGTTGCTGAGTGCCTTGAACCTCCCACGATATTTGTTGAGCTCATTTAGAAAGGTTGTATTGTTCTCACAGGGTGGAGGAGCAGCTTTATCGTCTGTGATGTCTTAGTCTGCCACATTTGTCTGGTATTCATAGGGTCATTGAAGAAACCCTGTATTCTCTAGTGATGGTGCTTTGGTACCTTTATGCACCATGTTGCCAGATTTAAAGAGTAATTTTGAACATTGCATCTTTCGTCATCCGTGGTGTCTTGCTGGCCTGTACGGTGATGTTCTTGGTGACAGATACAACTTCCATGCAATTGAATGACTGAATGCACAAAGTCAGCATAACCATTCACATTTGTAATGATTGCCAGTTGCAGCTGCTTTGAACATGAATAATCATGTCATCATCATCACCATGAAAAAAGGTCAATCTCAAAAGCTGATGTGAAGTTCTATTTCAGGGTTAAAGCTTTAAAGTACAGTATGTATATGTCATCTCATACTTCCCCTCTATTTATAGAGGCAAATATTATTATTATGTATTGACAAGCATGAATACAATAAAACCATAAATAAATAAAAGAAATTAAATGAAAGCACTACAATAATAAAAATTTACATTTTGTGGTTTTTATTGTAGACAAAATGGAACGAGAAAATATGTATTGGAAACATGGATTCTTTTTAAAAAAGAAAAAAAGGCTGTTTTTATTTTTGACATGAGGCAATCCTTTTTTGTTAGCTACATATAGCAACCAACCTTCTGACCTACATACAACAACAAATAGCAACAGATGTTAGTAAATATGAATGAAAACTTCCATATTTGCGTTCATATATTGTTTCTCACAGAGAGCTGCAGGGGGTGGACAAAGGAGCCATAACAACTCTTGAAATGGCTTAACAGATATAAAACAATCAAATCAGTGATTAGCAGCTAATTTGACAATTACGCCCTTTTTTTTAAGACAAAATGAAAAAAAACAAAGAAATGAAATATGTCATTGTTCTGGCTTTTCACATCCTGCAGTTCCTTTCAATAATTTCACTTAGTTTTCTTCTTTATAAATAATTTATTGGTTAAAAAAACATTGATTTGAAGATGCCAGTTTAGGCTCTGGGTACTTGCGTTGGGCATTTAAAAAAATAAAATAAATAATAATAATAATTTCTAGAATTGTTACAAAACAGCAAAGAAACAAAAACAAAATCAGCCATTTAACTTAATCATCTAGAAAATATTAAGCCTTAAAGAAATGATCAATAAACAATTAGGGTTCAAATTAATTGAAGGCTAATGCTTACATTTTGGTATGGGCGAAAGTTTAACTTAAATAATGCTATAACACTCACCTACAATAATACCTACATTTTTCCTGATTTTAGTTGTTTTTACTTAAATAACAACTTTTATTTTTAATGTAATATTTTTTCAATATGATTTTATATTGCCCACCTCAGCTCATATTAGCAAATATTTAAAAAATTTCCACTTATAATTACTTTTAGACTCTTACCTGCTTTCAAAAAACCCCCCCAAAAAAAACAAAAACAAACTGAGGTGCAAAAAGATGACGAACTGTGAAATGAATAAATGACCAAATTCAAACACTGGAGGGTGCCAAACTTAAGATGCAAAAGCACAAAGTAATATTCAGGGGGATGGTCATGTTGACACATTTTAGAAAAGAGCAGGTCAAAACATTCACCATTCGATTTTATTAATCAAAAGTCGAATTACAGTACGGGCATGTTATTTTTCCCCCCAAAACGTATACCAAACAAATGTAGGAAAATTAAACTGCATCCTAACATTGGATCGTCATACTTTAAGAAAAGCAACTACATTTACTAAATGTCGACATTACATGTATTAAATACAGGCTGAGCTTGTTTTACGGACATTTTGAAACAAAAATATAAAGTTGAACTTAAACAAAATAGAAAAAAAAAACAATTTATTCTTCACTTTTTACAAATAATACAACATACTTAAAGAGATCTAAACATTTCAACACTTTAAGAGACAATGAATAAAAATGATACATCACCAGAATATCTAAAACCTTTCTTCTGGTTATGTGCCAACATATATATTTTTTTCCTTTCTTAACATTTGTCTTAAAGGATAAAGTTACTTTAAGACTTGGAGTTTAAAAAATACACACACACACACACACACACACACACACACACACACACACAAATTTAATTTTCTTTTCAAATACTAAGTTTAGAATACTTAAACGTAACATGATTTAAAAATAATAATAATTATCGCGTTAAATCGTAGGATGTAGTTTCAACTTCTCCAAACTTCAAAGCAAACCAGAATCAAGACACAGCAATAACATTAAGTCTTGGAAAGGTGAAAAACATGTTACAGCTGGCTAATAAATAAAATTGAAAGACTATCCTCTGTTTGACATAAATGATAACATGATTGTTAGAAACGACAGACTTAAATCTGAAAGCGGATCCTTTCACACATACCTAATAATGAATTAAAATAGCATAAATATGCAAATTCAGAGCTTTTTGGTAAAGAACAAGATTCTAATTTCAGCAGTAGGCGTGTGTGGCCCCTTTGTTCTTACTGCATTTACCTGCTTAACACAAACCTTTCACATCGTTTTCTCCAGAAATGTTACGATAAATCCACTAAATTCATAAGTGTTACATTAATTTTTTCCATTTTTTAGAAACGCACATTAAGATAGATGTAGAACACTTGCCCTAATTCAATTCAGGCAACTTATCTTCATACTGTGGAGGAGGAGTGATGGGTTCAATGGTTACTGGGTTCTGTGTGGGGGTGCGGATTTGAAGGCGGAAGTCCTTCAGGTGCAGTTTGTCAGATTTGATTCTTCTCACTCGGAGGGGCCGGAGCAAGCGGCTGGCCCGACTAGCACTGCGGGTTGGCATACTGGGGTTAGATGTAAGGCCAGCGGGTTCAGATGGAGGCTCAGCGGCTGCGGGTTGATCATTAACAGGGGTTTCGTCAGTCGTGTTGTTAGCGGGCTCTGTTCCCTCGTTTTCCACCGCAGCTATGATGTCCTCGTAGGACGGCAGGTGAGAGGTGCTCTGCCGAAGGTTACTCTGACGCACGGGGTACTCGCTGCTGCTGACGACTTCCTCATAGGTTGGCACGTTGTACGTAGTTGGGTCGCTGGAAAGAGACAAAAGTTTTGATCCTCACTGACAAATCATTGTAAATGACACACTTTATAAGCCGTCTTTTGGCAACTTTGGTTTGTCATCGCTGTGTTTTTGGGGCTCCTTTTAACTGTCAAAGCTGTCAACAACCTTTTGCCGATTGACACCTTCAAAAGGCACCATACAGGCATTCATTTGTGTTTGTGTCCATCCTTTTCAGCTTTGTTTTGGTCCCCATAAACTCTTAAGTTTATTAGCTTTGTGTTTTATCTGCTTAATATCTTAGTATATTGACTAGGTAAGCGGTGCCCATGTCTACTGTTTAAGCCAAAGTAGATTGTCAATGTTACTTTTTGTCTGAAAGAAGCTTCTTGTTGTGGCTACAAGAAATTTATAGGAAACAGAAGGCCCACAAAACAAACTCAATAGTCTTTAATTAGTTCAACAAAGTAGTAAAAGGGTGTTTTTCTCTGTTTTTCTCAGTTTTTGTTTAAATCACATGAGTTGCCACCTGCTGGCCATTAGAAATAATTCAGGTTTCATTCATTTGTTTCAAAGGAGCCAAACTTTAGAGGGTTTTTTGTGTGTTAAGCTACTTAAATAGTGACCTGTGAATCATTTCAGCGTAAAAAAAGGCAACAAACTCAAAGGATGAACAGATGTTCTGGATACACATAACAGACAACTTTAATTTACAATCTCTCCTATTAACCCTAGAGAACCCATGGGGTCAAATTTGGCCACTGTTAATTGCTGCTGCTCAAAATGTACAAAGAAAAAAAAAAAATTGCAAATTTATCTTCTAAATGCCACTTCTGACCCCTGCATAGAGACATCTAGTGGATGCATATTGAACTGACATGAGCCAGAGTGGTAGTTAGAAGATGGCTGACCACATGCTGTTTTGTTGAGCTGGAAACTTTCCCCCCAAAAATAGTCTTCGTAGCAAAACAAATGTTGGTAAAATTGTGTTTTATTTATTAATCTACTTTGTAATAAGTTGCAGAATGCCTAGAAAAATGTTTTATGTTCTTTTTGTAAAAATTAGCCACTCTGAGCTAGTTAAAAAAA